GACCTTATGCTTTCTAGGCAAGCACTTTTTCCACTGAGCTATCTCCCCAGCCCAGTGATTTTTTTTCTAACAGGTACATGATCAAAAAAGATGTAGGATTACACAGATTAAGCTGTAAGAGTAGATCAGAAATCCCCTAGAAGATAGATTTGGAAAAGAAAGGGTGCAAAGGTTTAGAAGGAAGACAGCTTGGATTCTAATATTTAGTCTTGCCTTCCTAAAAACAAAAACAAAAACAGACAGCTTGGATTCTAATATTTAGTCTTGCCTTCCTAAAAACAAAAACAAACAAAACACCAAAGTGGCATTCTGCAATTCCTGAAGTAACTCAGTGGAATTTAGTATGTACATCTCGTTGAGAGTTCAGAGATCTTAAGCCTGTGAAGTGTGTAAGTCAGATATGGAAGAATCATCCTGAATAACTAAAATAGCAATACAGGAATGTATCTTCTGTCAGCTAGAGTTTTATGACTTGTCCTAAATTCAGACTAGACCCAGCTGAGCACGGTAATGGAGCCTGTAACCCCAGTGCTCAGGAGGCCGAGGCAGGAAGCGCCTGCAAGAGCGAGACCGGCCTGGGCTACAAAGTGACACAAAAGAATTCAGGCGCGCATGCTTCCCTCATTTTCATAGTCTTATTTTCCACATTTCTTACGCAATTGCATAAAGTAAAGAATTTTCTATATAACTACATGTTATTCAAGTGTGATAGAGGGTCTGTATAGAGTACTTGTAGTGTGTGTGTGTGTGTGTGTGTGTGTGTGTGTGTCTTTTGGAGATGGGATCTTCCTCTGCAGTTCAGGCTGACCTTGAACTCACTTGGTAGCCTGGCTGGATCTGTTTTGAATTTCGGACAAGTCATAAAATTTTAGCTGATAGAGGATATGTTTCTGTATTAATATCTAAGTTACTCAGAATGATTCTCCCACATCTGACTTCTAAATTCTGCTTTAGAGCTTTCGTCCTTACGCGAAGCACTGGCTTAGCCCCTTGCTGCAGCTGGTGGTTTCTGAAAACAATGGAGGAGAAGGAATTCACTACATGGTGGTTGAGTTAGTGGCTACCGTTCTCTCCTGGACAGGCGTGGCTGCCCCGACGGTAAGTACGGCTGGTGCACCCATTCCGTAGTGGTGGGTTACTCTTTGCTATTACCGCAGACAGCATGTGACAGAGGACTCACAGGGTCTTGATGATGGAGTCACTGCGCGGCAGTAGGCGTCATGTGGTGGCTCCGCTCCTCTGCTAGTGGCTTACAGTGCTTGCTTTTACCAACTGTTTTCAGTAATCCCTCTAACCTTGTTTGTCAGATGCGTACGTTTGTTGCCATTACTTGTCAGGAGCTTGGAAACTAGATAACAGATTTACGGAAAGCGTGTAAAGCAGATGACAGAGATCCTGAGTGTGGAGTTGTGAAGACTTCTGTGGTGACTGGAGTCTGGCTTGCTGACACTTCCTTACGAGTTCATTTACTCTCGGCGTCTTAGCTGTCACTGGTGACGATAACGGGTGCTATGCGACTGCCCCGTGAGTGCCACTGTGTCCTAAGTAGGCGGGCCATCTGCCTGAGTAGACGTATGTGTGCTGGGGCCTCGCTGTGCGTCAACACCGTGAGCTCCACAGTATGCGCACGTTCTTGCAGCAGGACGTCATTTACATAGTCCACATTAAACGTAATGTAGGGGAGGCTTATTTTTTGGTTTTGGTGCCAGTGACCAAACCCAGGGCTTCCAGCTTGCTAGGCAAGCATTCTACTGCTGAGCCAAATCCCCAGCCCCTAAACGTAACATGCACATGTGTATCTTTATATATTTGTGTCTGCCTATGGCAGTCTCATTTATTTCACAATAAACCAAATCTTGATTCTTTAGCCTTTTCCCCACTTCTTTATTAGTGCATTGATTACACAGATGAACGGCTTTCATTGTGGCAGACTTGTAAATGCGCATAGCATACTTTAATCATTTTCTTTCATTATCCCTTTGCTCCACCCTCATCTTCTGGGGAGAGGTTCAACATGTACGAAGTATTTTGATCATCATTTTGTGAGATAATCTCACTTTTCTCCCCGGCTGGCCTCAAATCCATGATCCCTCTGCCTAAGCCTTCCAAATGCTGGCATTACGGGCACACACCGCCACACCCCTGTGTTTTCTTAGTCTTCATGTGATAAAATAATTTATGGTTTAATAACATGAAAAAAATAAAAGCAACAAATCCTGGGTTCTGGAGGGAACAGGTCTTCCTGACCTTTTCCCTGCCCTGTTGGAGGCTTTGGCAGAGACCCTGTAAGAGCCTGCAGATGAAGGGACCTATGAACAGAGACCCTGGGCTGGCACCAGGTAGGCAGTGGACACGCTGGCCAGGGCCAGAGCTGCAGCTGCCTTGGAGACTGTGGTGCCCAGGCTGGGTCTGGTCTGTGTGTGCAGTCAGTGTCCCGCACAGCGTGCCAGGGAAGTCATTACAGTGACTACAGAACCAGTGGTCAGCGCTACAGAACCGCAGTGCATTTAACTAGGAGCTGGGGTGAGCAGAATGCCAGCTTCCTTTGAGAAATAAACTTCTGGGCTGCAGTGGAATGCTTCATATTAATACAGAACTTTTATATCTTTTCAGGGGACCCCTAAAGACGAAGTGTTAGCAAATCGATTGCTTCATTTCCTAATGAAACACGTCTTCCATCCCAAGAGAGCTGTGTTTCGACACAACCTTGAAATTATAAAAACCCTTGTTGAATGCTGGAAGGATTGCCTCTCCATCCCGTACAGGTATACAGTGTTGTTTAGAAATTTAGGTTAAAACGAAGCATGTTGTAAATGGTTGCAACAAAGTGTGATTATATGAAATGATAGGATAAGGAACATTACTTGAAACAGAGTTCACGTAAGGGTCTAAAGCCGCAGTCTTCAGTTTGATGCCGGAAATGGTCAGGGTGTGCGACGCCTCCAGGGTGTCCCTTGACTCACTGCCAGCTGCGCCTGTACCAGCCCGGCAGCTGGGTGTGAGGCTCTTCCGGGTGTGGCCGCAGGAGGCCTCGGGAGGGACCTCTAAGGATTTTTTTTAAATTCATTTTAGCATAGCCTGAGGAAAGCTGACCTAACATTCATAGAAGTTTCACTGTCAACAAAGGATTTGGGAAAGTATTTAAAATTTAAAAAAAAGGGGGGGGGGCTGGTGAGATAGCTCAGTGGTCTAAAGCGCCTGCTTAGACAAGCTTAGGCAAGCATGCAGGGACCTCGGTTCGATCTCCAGTACTGCATACCATGCCAGCCCTACCCCCAGGGTGGGCTGAGCTGACCATTAAAAAAAAGGAAACATTAAAAAAAAGGGGGGGGCCGGGGAGATGGCTCAGTGGAATAAGTGCTTCCCTGGCAAGCACAAGGGCCTGAGTTCAATCCCCAATTTCGCCAAAATTTAAAAAATATATATATAGATATCTGTATCTATATCTATATCTATATCTGCCTATTACAGTGCTACAGTGACCAGATGTGGAGAAGGGAAGTTGGCAGGCAGAGGCTCAGCTGTGGAAGGAACGTGCTCCTGACACCTGTGGCTGAAATTAGCTTTAGAGAATGCTGAATTCACCTTTCTGCTTCTATTTTCATGGTAGACAACCTATTTTCTCTTGCTCTTACTTTTCAGGTTAATATTTGAAAAGTTTTCCAGCCGAGATCCCAATTCTAAAGATAATTCTGTAGGGATTCAGTTATTAGGCATCGTGATGGCCAATAACCTGCCTCCCTATGACCCGAAGTGTGGCATAGATAGCACCAAGTAAGTGTCACCGCTGCGGGCCTCCTTTTTCTAGGCCTGTGTCTTCCTTCACGTGTTGGATCGCAGAGTGGAGCGTGGTTCAGTGTTAATTCATTCAAGGACTAGGTAGAAATATTTTTTCTTTCCTTTTTCCGGTTTGTTTTGTTTTGTGGTACTGAAGACTGAACTCAAAGTAACACTGAGTTACTTTCCCAGTACTGCCCCCCGCCTTTTTTCTTTTTTAATCTTTTACTTATGTGTGTATATGTGTCTGTATGTATTTGGTACAGGGTCTCGCTATGCAGCTCAAACTCATAGTGATCAGGGGCTTAGACCACCAAGCTATCTTCCCAGCCCTGCCCTTTACCTTTATCTCTCTCCTTTCTCCTCCTTTCCTTGCTCTCTCCCTTTCTCTCTCTCTCCCTTCTCTGTCT